TGATAAAAATGATAGGTCAGCGCTGAAACAAAAATGTTTTGCACTCGGTCCGTTAGACCATGTCCTCAGAAAATTCCTGACATCTGACCTTTCCTCAATGCCCTTTGACCTGTGACCTCCAATTACGTGCTGGTGATGGGTTTCCTCTCCATCACACTTGTAGCGTTCGCTTGTTGAGAGAAATATTATTGGATGGTTACTTTACTCCATGTGATAGGGCCACCTGGTGGCAACTGCGAGAATAGAGAAGAACGAGTCTGTGCTGTTCCTAGTGAGGTCGTTGCCAGCTTTCCAGTGGAATCCTTTCCACTGGGGGTTTCTGTTTGTTTATTTCACTTCATTGTAGAGGCAAAAAGGTTAGTAAAGCATGTGACTCATACATAATCGTAGGAACAGGGTTCAATATGTAAACGTTAGTATTCATATGTAATATGTTATGTTCGATATCTAACGTTCAATATGCTAGCATTGAGTTCAATGTATAAACGTTACAGTCTTCATTTGCAGTGGTTAATTTCATATAGCATTTAGTTCCGCTTAGCAAGATACGGATAGTTGTTTAAGTTTGGTGAATTACAGCACTTGTAATGCTGCGGTTGATAGACTACAGCCACTTGCGTGAAGTCTATACAAAGCCACTCAAGGTCAGGCTTTACAGTGAAGCACAGTGCGTGATTATTTGTAAGCAGAATTTGAGCTTGTGTATTGCCATAGGTTGCTAAGGCCTGTCCTGTGTACGAAACAGGTTACACAACGTGAACAGTTATCAGTTATTTCTTAAATACTAAACCTTTTTTGCCAGAGTATTGTATCGTGACATGTACGGGGTAATTTATTATCCTGACTTTCCTGTTTGTTACAGTTTTCACGGAAGGAATGTTAAGGAATGTCAAGGAATGTCAATAAAACGGAATGTCAATACGTTTCAAATACAGAGACACTTCCAGTGAAAACTTTACTCCTCGAGAGCGACACTCATCATGTCTGCAGACGACCAAGTTCAAAGAACAAGGTCAGATCCGAAGCCATCAGAGAGCGGACTCCAATATCAGATCGAGTTGATGGAGAAAGAGTTTCGGAAAAAGATTAGATGTTGGCGTCAGGCAGCCAACAAATTGAGGGTCGCTCTGACTGATGATGAAGATCTATAAGGCAGCATTATATGAAGGCTATAAAGCAGCAACGTGATACGATTCAGATTGCAGTGGACAAGGTCACGGAAGCGCAGGAGTCTCTTTCCAAGCTGAGAACGACCTCGAACATGGAAGACGAAAGTCTAGACAGGATCGAAGAGGTGGAGGAAGAACACGCGACGCTGATGAAGCAAACACATGAGAGATTGCTCATTCTCCAGGGAGACTCCGTTGCCGGGTCTCATTCAGCCTCCTCCAGGGCTAAACGTTCGAACAGGTCTCCTCGTTCACAAAGTATAATTAACTGTCAAAGTTGGGTCGACGATCAGGCAAGGATGTGAGGCCTGCAACTCAAGATAATCAGACCAGCAACTTGTTGACGGCAGGTCTGATTGACCAGGTGAAGATGAGTCGCTTGCCCCTCCCAGAACCTACGGCGTTCGGTGGGGATTCTCTTCAATACCCAGCCTGGAAGCGAGGATACGACCTCCTCATCGAAAAGAGAGGGATCCCACCAGAAGACAGGTTCTATTATTTGTTAAAGTACCTGAAGGGGCAGCCCTTGGAGCTTGTGCAGGGGTTTTCTCTGCTTGGTGACGAGATCGCCTACTCTGCAGCGAAGAAGGCACTGGAAAAACGCTACGGAGATCCCTTTGTGCTTTCTAACGCCTACAGGGACAAGTTAGAGTCTTGGCCCAAGGTCAATTCTAGGGATGCACTGGGTCTGCGCATGCTTTCAGATTTTCTAAGGCAGTGCTGTACGGCCATGAGAACCACTGGAAAGCTGGCAACGACCTCAATAGGAACAGCACAGACTCGTTCTTCTCTATTCTCGCAGTCGCCACCAGGTGGCCCTATCACGTGGAGTAAAGTAACCATCCAATAATATTTCTCTCAACAAGCGAACGCTACAACACTATACATCGAATATTAAGAGCGTAGGTCGAGCCGTTGAGATTTGTGCTGCAATTCCGTATTTCCTCCTATACCTTAAGTTAAGGGGGAAATATTCCCCCTCCATTGACACATCTTGACCTTTGACCCTTGACCCCCCAAATTCGACATCCCGAGTCTTTTTCGCGATCCCCCCCGACGTCCCGAATATCAAGACCGTACGTCGAGCGGTAAAGATTTGTGCCATAACTGTTGACGGACGCACGCACGGACGGACATTCATGCGATTCTACAAGCTGCATCTGACTTCGTCAGCTGAGCTAAAAAACCATTATTTTATACCAATAGATTAATACATTAAAATATACAGGAATATACACTGGCTGCAGAATCAAATCTGCCTCATACAAGCTTACACAACACCAATACATCAATACTATTTCCATATCTAAATGTAATATTTATATATAGACATAATATGAGTGGGTTTGGGATAAACTTGATCCTGCTGCCAGTGGCTATACAGAGGAATGGTAAACTCTAAAAAACATGGCGCAGTTCCAGTTGAAACTTATCACTTTAAAAAATCCCAGCACTCAACATCATATTCCTGCTATCCAGTGGCATTTCTTGCAACTTTTGGGTTCCATAGCGCCGATGCACGCTCACAGTAACAATACTATACTCATATAGAAATCTATATCTCACACCAACGCCACTTATCAGCAAAAACAAACTAACAAATGGCATGATGTTAGAGAGCCGTTAGATTATGAGCAATGCAGCACAGCATGGAGAACGTTTATAAGAATAGACATATAAATTAATACGTCAGCCTAGTAAGGTCATTGAGAAGACCCATTTCGCTACCCTTAGTAAGAAATTTTTTATTTGTTCGAATTTATTATAAATTTGTCCATATTTTTTACGAATTTATCAGTAACATTTTGATACAAAGCACTCACTTTCTGAAAGAAATGTACATTACACAAAATTTCATGTAAATGTTGTATTCTCACTGAACCCGCACAAGTGCCGCAGAGCGACAGGGCTCATCTGGTGTCTGGTGTTCTGCTGATAAATTCATTTGTGCATACATGCGTCCTATACATACGTTCATTTCTAACCCCAAAAAAACAACACTTCAAACTAGTGTAATAAAATTCCGATAGATGGCGGGCCGCTATCAAAGGCATCGTTGCATCGGTCAGCCAAGACATTGCAGCAATGGCAGCTGTCAGTGTGACGACGGATTGCAAAAAGCAGGAGCAAATAATTACCATATTATTACTATACATAACGTGCGTTCTATGGTGTCAGGTAATAAGGTACATTAAACTCCTTGCGAGGCACATCTGGCTCGTTAAAAAATAGCTCAATGGTTGATACAACCAGAGCAGCTCGTGCAAGATTACAATTTACAGCAATACGATAGCAAATATCTGTAAACTAATTTCAGTACAAGGTAGGCCAGTGATTAGTGGACCGAATAAGCTCAAGAACGTACACACCTTGCCATCTATATTGTGCTAAAATTTGATGAGAAAATTAAGTCTGGGAAATCCGCAGCCTCACTCCTGGGTAAACTATTTGAGCTGCTAGTGTACTGTATTCCAACTATTCATAATGTACACTACAGAATTCTCATATATTACAAGTCATCTCATTAATCTCCTAAGTAAGCCATTGTTCAAGTAAGAGTTATGTGTGGAATTTCATTGTAAAATGGGAGCTTTCACAACGACAGGTACTCGCCAACCGAGCAGTTGAGAAACAAATCAATGTTTAACCCTCCTCTTGAAGGCCTCAAAAGGTTATCTGACACTTACTCTTCGCCTGTCAGCAGAAAGTACATTTGCATGGTCCTTTCAAAAAGCCATAAAAATGCTTAGTCACCGCTTGAAGACAAAAAGTTTTTCAATCGCTCCCGTCAGACAATGTCCTCAGAAAATGTCTAAAATCTGCCCTGTGCCCATTGACCTTTGACCTGTGACCTCCATTTAGTCACAGTGATGCTTTTTCTTACCATGATGCTATATCACACCGACTATCACAGAGCCTAGGTCGAGCCGTTTAGATTGTGTGCCGCCAATTCCTCGCATTCCTACCCTATACCTTAAGTTAAGGAGGGAATGTTCCCCCTTCTTTTACACCTCTTGACCTTTGACCTTTGACCCCCAGCTTCGACATCCAAACTTGTTTTGACGATCCCCTCAACGAATATCGTGACCGTACGTCAAGCGGTTAAGATTTGTGCCCAACTGTTGACGCACGGACGGACACACGGACGGACGCACGCTCATGCGATTCTACAAGCTGCATCTGACTATGTCAGATGAGCTAAAAATTGAGACATTTTAACTCCTGCTAGTACTGACATATTATATCACCTACAGCTGGTTCTGCAGAGTTTCAAACATGTTTTACCTGTCATTTGAAGACAGTACCTAAAAGGAAATATCCGTTCATGGCACTAACTGCACATACAAACCCCCCTCTCACCTTTGAGGGGATGTTATAAGTTCCTGGAGGTCTTATGGCAGGCCTTTGACCCATGTGTCTCATCGGTGGCCCATTCGATCCATAACCAGGTAATGATCCTCTTGGACCAACATGGCCAGAAGGCATTCCACTACTGCCAGGCACCATAGCACTTGATCCACTAGATCCCTCAAAAGGTCTTGCTGGACCATGCATGAAAGGACCTGAAGAAATCAGAAAATAGTACATGACTGTAGGTTCATTTAAGACCTAGGGATAAATTAGTTTATTTCCATCTAAAGCGATTCCTTCTGCATAAATAGCAAGAGCATATATAACACATCTGTTTAATTTTTGCAAAATTCTACAAAAATAAAATGTTTGTTCACTTTTTATGGTTGAATTGTTGCATTATACTACCAATTTTGCCATTCTTTCGATGCAACATGCACTTGCTTCGAATACAGCAACCAATATTGCTCAAGCTCTGTCATGGCGTCAAGACACAAATATAGCAAACATGTACATTTTTAAAACGTGTTAGCACAATCCTTTTAGAAAAAAAAAACTGTACTGATATAATCAAGTAAATCATATTTCTTTAAAAGCTATATTCCTCAAACGGATTGTCCTTGGCTGCATTTTTTACTTCCTTAAATTTTATTCCGATGAACTATTGTTTCATTCTCACTCATAGTAAGCTAATCCAGCACAAAAGCAGCCAGAATAATTAAGAAATGACATATGTTTTCAAAGCCAAATAATATTGTCAAAACTATGAAGGATTGATTAATGATTGAATAATGTGAATTAATGAAAATGTTTAAAATGTTATAAAGAAACCAAAAACAAACAAAGTAGAAACTGCTCATACATTATACACAGATAACAACACAAACTGACACCAAGCCCCTAATACCCTGTACAGACTGCAAATTTTATCCTAAATCAAACTCTTCTTCTGACATGGTAGGTGAGTGCCAGGTTTCTGTTATCGCAGCTATTCCAACACTGTACTTGACTGGCCAGAGAGCCAGTTCATCAACCTTGTTTAGGAGTGACCGACACTTCATTACAGCAAACGTTGGAAGCAATCTGTTTGCATCACGTGACTGGTGTGGGTTCCCAGTCACTACTTGAACATAGTTAGTAGGCGAGCTCTTGCATAAGTAAATGGCAGAAGAACGGTGTTGGCAGTACATCGGTTGCATGTTGTGCTCCTGCTCTACACACTGATGTCTTACCAATATTGCTAAAAATGTATGCTGTACCAAACCATTGATCCAGGCTGCCATTGTTTGCTTGTAGATCTGGCACACTCTTCTCCAATACCACCTCTTTCTTGAAGCACCAACTGAGCACCCACGCTTGTGTTTACGCAACAACATTTCAATAATAGCACAGGAAAATGCAATTTTTTTAACTGCGCAGATAGAAAGAAATAAAGGCATCCGTGTTACAATCGTGGCGCCATTTCCGAAAAAAGTGCCTGTCATCACCATGTTCACTTTACCTGGCAGTCTTGGTGGCTGTTGGGTCCGATGGTGAAGCTGATGTGGAACAAACATTGCAGAGCTTTGAGGAGACTGCACATGTCCAACCTGTGTATTACTAGGTATAGATTGAAAACTCCCTTGTAGAGATGGCGTAACTACTCCACCTGCCAATAATAAAAGTGACAGCTTTATAATGTACACATTTCTAGAAAAAAAAGTCCATGAACATAGTGGCTGCGAACATAATACATGCCTTGAGTAGTAATACAATCCGGTGAGTTCATGTGATGTTTTGCCATCTGCAGATATCAACAGACATGGAGTCTATCATGTATTTTAAGTAAATTTACCCATTGATGGTGGTGGGGGTGGAGGAGACGATAGCAACTTTTGTGTATTGCGTGTTTTCAGCTCTTCGGCGACCTGAAACATGTAAACATATATACTAATGAAAGTGTCAATGACACTATAGCTCACCTTGGGTGTGATAGAAGAGGGAGATAATATTTAAAATTTGGCAAGTGTTTCATTTATGATGGACCGAAATGTGATCAAATGTCCTTATTCCCTGTTGTATACTAACAGAAATTTCAGTTTTGTTTCAGGGTTAGTTTTGATGCGAAAATAAATGTTTCAGATCTGAAAGTCTGAAATCTGGGCGAGAGATGGCGCTACGCCTAAATGATCGCCATTTTGGTTTTCGATTATCGCGCAAATAAAAGCAATAAAATATTCCAGTCAAATTATTGTAACAAAGAACCTAAAACACAATATTACACGTAGGTATGATTAGGTAGGTAGGTAGGTAAATTTAACAAAATCGAATGAATCTAGATGGCCATTTTCATTTTTACCAAAAAGTGGGCGTGGCTCGAAAGTAGGTCGACTGGCGTGCTCCAAAATAGGACGTTCAAATCTCTCCCATAGGAGTAACAACTATTTGCAATTTGAAACATGTGGGTCAAACGGTTCTTGAGTTATTGTTGACCGTAGGCAGACACTGAAATGCATAGTGAAATTGCCAAAATCTACCTAATTTGTATAGTTAAAATCAAAACCCCTGTGATATGTTTTGGGGCCAGTCCTTATTCATTCACATGCCAAAAATGAGCAAAATTCATTGAACCTGAACTGACTTATGGCCATTTCCATTTTTGCCAAAAAGTGGGCGTGGCTCGAAAGTAGGTCAACTGGCATGCCCCAAAATAGGACGTTCACATCTCTCCCATAGGAGTAACAACTGTATGCAATTTGTTGACGGACGCACAGACGGACGGACGTACGACGGACGACGCCCCATGGCAATGTGAGCTAAAAACAGAACCTTAAATATAAAATGTATAAAAAAGTATACATACATGTAAACAGAAACCCTCCTATGATACAGGCACTCAGATTGCAGAAATCCACCAAGACGACAAGACGCATAATACTACCTCAGAATCGCATTTGTAGAGGCACACCCCACATTGTTGAAAGGTCAGTACTAAGGTATTGTATAGATAGCTGTATGTAGTAAAGATTGAGAGTTGATTTCTGCAGATAGGAGGGTTAGTAGGGGTAGGGCTAAGTTTAATGGTACATCACTCCTACTTTTAATTATTTGTTTGAACAGGCATTACTTTCACCTGCCTGAGTATCACAATGAATTTGGATAAATGGATAAAACACTGACTAAACACGTAAATGGTGCAAAATACACAGACACCAGTTATATTAAGCAGCAGTCCGTTTACAGTCCATGGTTAGTATGTGTGAGTCCGTGCATGTACGCGGCAATCCGCATATTGGCAACGGACTATAATTAGCTGCTAATTTGATCTGTTATAGTCCGTGGCTCTCCGTGTGTTTTGCACCATTTATGTGTTTAGTCAGTGTTTTATGTGTTTATCCCATTTCATAGTATATTTGTACTTGCCACGGTGAATGGGCAGCCACTAATTTCTTACACTATTTATATATATACCAAATCAAAAGTTGAAGCTCTAATGATTGGCCGATTAGCTTGATCATTGTTCTTGCCACTCGCACGTTCTGGTGGAGGTCGTGGTGAAGACAGAATCACCCCAGGAGGCAGAGGGATGTCAGAAGGAGATGATATTTCTTTCTCAAATCTAAAATGAACAAATGGCAAATAGCATTAAAAGCAGTGCTATATAATTATTTTGTATTCCAAATTTCAGAGTTACTGTAATAGGCCTATGGTTTGTTGTCAAACCAGTAAGCATATATAAATACTGATTGCACAATATATATACACTATTGGCATAGGCCAGAAAGCCAGTAATCACAAGTAAATATTTTGTAAATGTCAAAATGACACCCTGCTCCGTTTCATTGCCTTGTCTAATGTTGTCATATTCCTTACGTTGCGCGTTCGTCTAGGTTCGCGGAGGAAGCAATCATGCCACTTGTTATATATGACAAGCGGTGTGATTCAGAAGTCGAACGTCGACGTGTTTAGTGATGTTGGAAAGTGAAGATGGGCGAAGTCATAGGTAGTGAATTTAAACCCAAAGCTTTATATATTTATTTGAATAAATCAAGCACAAACGTACATGCCTGCAACAGAGTCATAGTAACGTCTAGACTTGTAAATAATTCAGAGCTACTCAGCACGTCTATTCACTTGGTCTAGAGAGAAGGAAAATATTACTTGTTTTTGCAATTAAAGAATTTTATTAAATCAATTTTAAGGTGCACAACTTGGGCATTTTCAAGCCGACTAAGGCCCATTTATTTTACTAGACAGGCGAGCAGCCTAATCATTTTGGCGAGCTAATTTGGGCAATCTTGGATTGTACGTGCTATGGCCACTAGCGGCGCACTCCAGCCAAAGCCAAGAAACCAGGTTGCAAATAGCACCTAATGTTGATAGGTGGCTCGCGTTCAAGTGTGCTATTCGCGTTCCTATTAGTCACTTGGGTCATGCACTCGTGACAAGTGCTGCCCTTAAAGGCTCACAATGCGCATCCAAACGCTAATTTCTCCAGTACTAGACTAGCAAATACTTCGTGTCATGCATAATCACACTACCTTATGACAAAATAAACTCTAGTTGCTCCCATTTCACTGCGCGTTTGCTTAAAACCCACAAGAAAGAGGTGAGAAAACTGGCATTCTGGCGCAAACGCCGACTGTTTGCCAAACAAAATAGCTTCGAAGTGGTGACGTGACGTCACATGTTTTTATCTTTGCTGCGCCCGTACAGCTGTACCGCAGCACCGCTGCACGGTTGCTTGGGGATTGGGGAAACTGTCAACAACATCGGAGAATTTCAACAACATTGGAGGTATTTTCAAAATACCTTTTATAAGACAACGCGCATTGAAATGGGAGGATCTAGAGTTTATTTTGCCATAAGGTAGTATGATTATGCATGACACGAAGTATTTGCTAGTCTAGTACTGGAGAAATTAGTGTTTGGATGCGCATTGTGAGCCTTTAAGTGGCACCTCTACATCGAGCATGTGCTATCATGAGCATGTGACGCAGCTGTGATGCTATCTGTGCTACTTGCATGGTTAATCTGACTATGCAACATAAAACTAAAACTAAACGCGCTCATACGGCTCTACTTTTGCATATATGCAAGTGTTCAATAAAGCCATAAAAACGGTAGGCTACCACTGAAACAAAAGTTTTTCACTGGCTCCGTCAGGCCATGTCTTCAGAGAATGTCTAGAATATGTCTTTTGCCTTAATACACTTTAAATTGTGACCTTAAATTTTGCGTTGGTCGGCTTTTCTTATCATGACGCTATATATACCGAATATCATAGGCCAAGCCGTTCTCATTTCTGCAACAATTCTGCATTTCTGCCTATACATTTCAGTGCTCGAAATAAGACAAAAAATGTGGTTGTCCTGCGGACAACCCCGGCATCAAATCGGGTTGTCCGCAACAATTTCTGGTTGTCCCAAAAAAAATCCCCAAATTTCCTATTTTCAATCACATAATAATATAATCAGAAAACACCCAAAAACAGTGGCGTAGCCAGGATTTTTTAACAACGGGGGCCAAAAACAGCGAACTGCGCAAAATAGTGGATGACTTAATATTTCACTGGCTCCTCCGCCTCCCTCTCCACACCCTACGGCTCCCCTACCTCTCAGCTCTGCAATCTTTGTTTTGGGCGCCATGCGAAAAGGCGACATTTTTGTTCATTTTTCTCTGCTCCCAAAATATGTAATTGTTCAGTGGTGGGTCTAGGATTCCAAGAAAGGGGGGGCGAAAAACAGGCGGGAGGGTATGGGGGTCCTCCCCCAGAAAATTTTGGAAACTTGCT